TTCACTCCAGCAGAAGGCCGCACAGACCAACTAACTGACATTAGCACAAATCCCATAGATTTCGAAAAATAAATGGACATGCCCACTCACTCAGCACCTGGTCCAGATTCATGGAATGCTCTATTTATAAAGAAGTGCAAAGTATCGCTAGCACGAGCTCTCAGTATTCTTTGGAGAAAGAGCTTAGATACAAGTGAAATACCGGAGGCCTTAAAGAGTGCAGACATAGCTCCTTTGCAAAAGGGAGGTAGTAGAGCACTAGCTAAAAATTACAGACCAGTAGCCCTAACTTCTCACATCATAAAAATTTTTGAAAGGATGATGAGACGGCAGATTACAAATTTCATGGACCAGCACAACCAGTATAACCCGAACCAGCATGGTTTTAGAGCAGGACGCTCATGCCTGTCACAGCTGCTGAACCATCATGACAGAATTATGGAGGCATTGGAAGATGGCCAAAACGCAAATGATTTACACAGATTTTGCAAAGGTGTTTGACAAATATGCTCATGGAGAGGTAGGGCAAAAAATGAAGGCCATGGGCATTACTGGGAAGGTAGGCAGAACACAAAAGGTAGTAGTAAACAGAGCAAGATCCTGCATCAGCGAGGTCAAAAGCTCAGTTCCCCAAGGCACTGTCCTGGCACCCATTCTGTTTCTCATCCTCATAGTGGACATAAATAAAAACACCTGGCACACTTTTGTATCATCATTTGCAGATGACACTAAAATAAGCATGAAAGTACTACGGTAGAGGACACTGAAAAATTACAGAAAGACATAAACAGGGTTTTCCAGTGGGCAGTGGAGAACAACATGACATTCATTGGTGATAAGTTCCAGCTGCTTAGGTATGGAAAGAATGAAGAACTCAAAAGGAACACTAAATACAAAACTAAAGAGAACGAAAGGAGCATGTAAAAGACTTGAGAATAATTATGTCACTTGACCTTTCTTTTTAGGAACAAAGCAAGACAAAGTTCATGACAGCCATGAAGATGATAGGGTGGGTATTGAGAACTTTCAAAAGACGGGAAATAATGCCGATGGTGACACTCTTCAAATTGCTAGTGCTCCCTCATTTAGAATATTGCTCAGTGCTGACGGCCCTGTTCAAAGCAGGTGAAATATCAGAGCTGGAACAAATATAGAGATCATTTACGGCTCATATTGAGCCAGTAAAGCACCTAAATTACTGGAAATGCCTTCAAGTCTTGAACATGTACTCACTGGAGAGGAGGAGAGAGAGACACATGTACCTGGAAAGTATTCAAGGGCCTGGTTCCAAATCTGCACACTGCCATAACATACTGGAGTGAGAGATATGGGAGGAAGTGTAAAATAAACCCAGTGAGGAGCAGGGGTGCAGTGGGGACAATAAAGGAACACTGTACCAACATCTGGGGTCCCAGACTATTTGACATCTTACTAGAAGATATCAGAAACATGGCTGGAACAAGTGGAGAAGCCTTCAAGAGGAAACTGGACAAGTATCTTCATCAGGTGCCAGATCAACCCGGCTGTGATGGATATGTGGGGCAGCGGGCCTCTAACAGCAACAGCCTGATTGATCAGGCAAGCATGAGATCAGCCTGGCCCATGGCCAGGTTCCAAGAGCAGTTAAACTCTCGAAACTCTTCGAAGGTAAAGGTAAGGAGCTTGTACAGTACTAACTATACTGTAATATTAAAGTTTCACATTTAACACAGTCCTCCCCAGCAAATTTCAGTCCTGGAGAATGTGCAGAGAACTTTCATTGCACATATAAATTCACTCAAACACCTAAGTTCATAATGACACATAAATTATATTTCTTGAATGAATACAAAAAAAAAAAAATTTACATCTGTAAAATAATGGAGGGATTGGTTGCTAGTCTGCATGCCAAAATAAAGTCATGAGAATGAGAGATATGGTTGACAGTGGAAAATACCCCATGAAAACAAGTGGTGCATAAAGTATCTTAAAAATAAAACTCCATAAACCTTTAAGGGACCAAGGCTATACAACACCCTCCCTTCAAAAATAAAGGGAATTACCAACAGACCCCTGTTTCCAAGAGGAAACTTGGCAAGTTCTCCCAGGTAATTCCTAGTCAACCAGGCTGTGGAACCTATGATGGATTATATACAGCAGGCACTAACAACCTGGTTGGCCAGACTAATAGCCTGAAGACCTGGTCTGAAATCAGGCTACAGGGGTGATGGTCCTTGGAACCATCAACAGGTAAAACCTTCCAGTCTTGTTAGTATAATTATTAAATTTATGGGGAAGCACTAAACCTATAAGGTCATATAGCACCTGGGAAATGGGAGGTATTCAAGTTTGATCCAAGGAAGGAACGATCATCTTAGAAGTTTTCTCTTGATTCACGAAGATCATGTACATCTTAGATCTCTCACAGATTCCCTCTTCAATGAAAATATCTCACTCGCTCCACTTCTTTCACAATCAACTCCATCATGTTTGCCAATGACCAGTTTCCAAGTTAGTGTTAGAAGTCTTCTAGTTGTGATGTTGGCACATACAGCAGGTCCCTAAATTACTAACAACTTTCATTTCTTGGTTTTTAAGGCTCACAAAACAAGTTCTTAATATGGAAAATCATAGTACAAGGATAGCCATGCTTCACTCATGTTTGTTATTCTACTCGATAGTTATAAACTTTAACCGGTACCTAAATGCCTCGTTTGTACTTAGTGTAAATGTGTGTAACTTGTGGTGACTGTAATTTTGGAATCTGTGCTTCACCCAAAATTATTAACAGGCTAACACACATGTAGTTCTTACACTCACAATAGTCACTCTCAGAGAAGGAGTCAAATAATTTAATCATAATGGCTCAGTGCTGTGCAAATATGGAACAATGAGATAGAAAGAGTAGCACATGATAGAAAGGTGATTGGCTCCCTAGAAAGGATTATGGTGGAAGAAATGTTACCATGGATGTGAAGAAAGGATTAGGTGCCAGCATACTCCTGCCAACCCTGACCTAAGGGAGTCAAACATGTAGATACAATGAGAGAGATATACTAGTATACTTCACAAATAACCCAAACTTAGATATGAAGGTTTCAATGACATTGCTTCTGGTGTGTACTCACTTTCCTGCTCCTTCTACCCTTTTCAGTATTTTAGTGAAACTTGCTATTCTTTTTCTGATAGACACTAACAGTGTTTTTCTGTCAGGTTAGACATCATAGCCATCCTATTAACTGGTCCTCTGCAAAAATTATCTACCCTTCACAGACCCATGTTTGTGCTTGTTGAATCATCCCTTATACAAAACATTGCTAACAAGAATTATAGACTTGGTAGGCCTGACTTTGTTTCTATAGATGCCCGTCTGTCTTAATGCACTCTCAAATACAGTGGACCCCCGCTTTACGATCAGCTCCCAATGCGACCAATTATGTAAGTGTATTTATGTAAGTGCACTTGTACGTGCATGTTTAGGGGTCTGAAATGGACTAAGCTAATTCACAATATTCCTTATGGGAACAAATTCATTCAGTAATGGCACCTGAACATACGTCTGGAATGAAATAATATCGTAAAGAGGGGGTCCACTGTACTCTGATTTTCAGACCACTTGTAACCTGACCTGACCTCTGCCTTCTCCTCACCTCTTCCCTTGACTTGTCTTTTGTATTGCTTTTGCCTTCATCTGTTCTGATTTTCTCCTTTAGCTCTTCTGTTCTTCTTAGCACAGGCCATTCAGTCTACTGCAACTACTACTGCAATTACTATTACAGCAACTACTACTGGTATTTACTGCTACTGCAACTACTACCACTGCTACTAACTACTACTACTACAACTACTACTAGTACTACTACTGCTATTAACTACTACTACCAACTACAGCCTCTCCTCACTTAGCAACGTATTCATTTACCGATGACTCGGACTTACGACGGGCTCTCTGATCAGTATGCATACCTAAATAATGTATATTAGAGCTGATTTCCTCTATTCTGTTTATTACAATATACAGTACACTGCTGTATAAACATTTAAAAATATACCAGAAATGTTATAAATGGTGCAAAGGTGACATTAAAACATTATCAAAGATAATTGACACAAACCCACTACCATTATAGTATGCTCCTCACTTAGCAACAAATTCATTTACCGATGTGGTCTTAGGAACAGATCTCCGTTGTTAAGTGAGGGGAGACTGTACTACTAACTACTACTACCAACTACTACCACTACTAACTACTACTACTACTACTACTAACAACAAAAGAAAATATTGATATCACTACTATTATTGCTACTGTTACTACTACTACTTCAATCTTCCCCTCCCTCTTTCCAACCTGTCTTCTGCACTATTTCTCACTCAGCTGTGACTTGATACTGATCAAGGACAGACCAAAATGTCATCTTAACTTTCATTTTTAAATAAAGGTTATTTGTTAATTGTTCCAGCCACAGTATTGTGACTTGTATTCTTCTTACCAGTATATAAAATTCAGACTTGAAATTAACTATTAAACAATGCATTTGGCAACAATAAATGGGAAAAAGCATTACTTTATAATGCTTTTGTATATAAGGAAAAATGATGGGTGACTGGAGGCTTTTCAATTTCTTTAACCATTAATACATACATTTAGCTGACAAAAATAGAAATAAAAATAAAGACAAAAATAAAAATATGAAAAAAAAAAAAAAATAGGAAGAGGTTTACTAATTACAACAACAAGCAGCAAGGTGTACAAGGTCAAGCCAATCTAGGCCTCTTCATAAAAAAACACAAGGGGGTTAGATCAATTGTTGCCAACTAACATAATTAAAAACAACAGTCAAGGGGTATAAACAGGCATAGGTTGCTAAAACATAACATACAGAAAGGGCTGCCTGGAGACTTTAGTGTAGCCAGACTTCACAGGGTGTGCCTTTGTCAATTTATTCTATTCTCTTCACATCATCTTAAACATCATCTCTACAACTAGAGCTTAAACAATGAAAAAAAGTCTACCAACCTTTGAGCTAGTGCAAGTTTAAGACGGTCATTCTCATATTTGAGCTGCATCTGAGTATCTACGTTACTGCCAGCTCCAGTCGTTCCTACTTTGTCACCCCCACCTCCTCCGCCTCCCCCTCCTCCTCCCCCTCCTTGCTTGTGCTTTGGGCTTTCTCCTGCCGGCTGCAGTCCTGTATGTATCATTTAAACACAAGAATGGTATTAGCTGTCAAATTCTATATGCCAAAGAAAATGCATACTTGCACCACAGAAAACAAGAACCTTGTTCATAGAGCACAAATGCCTTGCCCATCTTTAAGTATGCACAGATGATCAGACACATTATGACAGATGGACAGGCATAGAAAGAAACAAGAAAGCAAATGCAGGACAGGTGCTCCTTGGCTTATAATGGAGTTATGTTCCAATGAACCCATCCTAAATTGAAAATATCCTAAGTCAAATATAAATATATGATAAATAAATAAATAAATAACTACCATCACTGAATAAGTAAATAAACAAATAATCACTGCAACTGGCTAAATACCAGTATTGAAAAGTAAACAAATGAATACAAGTTTATTCTATCAATAAATGTACAGTACTGTACAGTACAAAAAAAAAAGTTGTACACCATCGTAAAGTTGAAATATCGTAAGGTGAACCATCATAAAGCAAGGAGCATCTGTATGTACATAGAACATGGACATATGGCTATTCAGCACTCTTGTCAATAAAATTGTAAATACTGTAATGTACACCCATACACACTAACACACACTAAAACTAACCCTCAAAATATAAAACTAATTGCACTAACAAGCACACACAAAGATATAAGTTCAATCACATGAATTTAAAGTATAAATAACCTGCACCACTAAAAAAATTAAATGGTTAATATAAAAAAAAAAAGACTTAAAATTTGCAAGATCCCTACAGGTACCCCAGTAATTACAGAACTCATGACTTGGATGAAAGAGCTACAGCTATGAGCTGTTAAAATGTGCTCTATAGTCAGCTGCATGTTGCAAGTCAAACACAGAGGGACAGTAGTACCTGCAGTCCTGCAAGCAGGTACAGGCAGGCCCTGCTTTACAGAGCTTCGTTTTACAGCATTTTGCTAATGCAGCACTTTTCAATTGTAGCTATTCTTCATTTATTCCGACTTCCTACAATAAATATACGTATTCACCACTCACTATAAGCTCAGGATGAAAATATTTGAAAATAACGAGTTTACTGTATGTGCATTTTTAGACCTAGTTCTGTTGTTCACTTAATACATGTATATGATAATGTAAGCATGTTATTAGGCTTTTATTTGCATTTGAAAGTGAAAAAAGGCTATGTTTCACTTTACAGCAATAGCCCGGAGCCTAACCTGCTGTATAAGCAGGACCTGCCTGTACCTGCAATCAGATACAGTGAGGTGTGTGTGCCCATCCTCAATCTACGAAGAATAATTTTATAGAGATAATTTTCATAGAAAGAGGAGGGTTAAACATCCACAGTCTCTTCAGCCCTTTATAACTAACACTGATGTTCTATAGAGCAACTGAACCTGCCAGGCATGAATAACACTGTAACCCCGCCCCCACCATTGCCAATTATGTAACAAAATGATTGTCCACGTCTTTTATAAATGCATCACAGGACAAACTATAACAATCTGAATCTCTGTGCTGTATCATGTTACATCTAAGAGACTGTACATATGTTCCATCTAAAGAGGGAAGTGATAATCATAGGTACAAATACAAGCTCAAAAAGGACAAGAAGAGCTAAAATAAGAAGTACTGTACTGTATTAACTTTGCAAATAAAAGAGATGTATGTACAATAATTATTAAAAGACCTCTGCAATGGAAGGAAAAAGGGTTAGGGGCCATCCTAGGAATGGCTGGTGAGAGGGGGTAAAGGAGGTTTTGAGTATTTGGGGCTTGGACATCCAACAGGCTTGTGTGAACATGTTAAGACAGGAATGAGTAGAGGGAAGTAGTTTTTATAATTTGACGTGCTGTTGAAAGGAAACCAATTAGCTGGTTAGCCAGAGGTGGGAAGTACAGTACCTGCACTTCGAAGGACGGGTGGGAATGTTGCAATCTGGAAAGTCATTTGATATGAGATAAGCACAACCTTCCTTCTGGCATGACAATGATTTGAGTGAGTGACAGTGAAAGTGTTTTCTTCTTTGTCTGGTTACTCTACTTCAGTAGGAGATACCTGGAGAGTTTACCTGGAGAGAGTTCCGGGGGTCAAAGCCCCCGCGGCCCGGTCTGTGACCAGGCCTCCTTAGGTCAGTGTCCCAGGATGCGACCCACACCAGTCGACTAACACCCAGGTACCCATTTTACTGATGGGGAACATAGACAACAGGTGGAAAGAAACACGTCCAATGTTTCTACTCTGGCTGGGAATCGAACCCAGGCCCTCACCGTGTGAAGCGAGAGCGTTAACCACCAGGCCACCAGAGCGTTAAAAAAAAAGTACTTGAGGATTTAGAAAACACCTGATCCTTACAAATATAACTACAACCAAGCTAATATAAACAAATACCAAAAAAGAAGCAGTCTGCAACTGTAAAGCCTGGCAAAGCAAGGTCAATGTGACTACTCCAGTTAAAAGTCATATTCAAATTTTAAATAGGACATCCAGAGCAAAAATTACCTGAAGACATTAATCGTTAAGGATAAAAGCCCAGTTATAAGAAACCCAGAACTGAAGTTGCTGGGCATTTATATAACAATATGATAGTGTATAAAAACAGTCACCAAGAAAAACATTTTACCCATAAAAAACATGTTCATCAATGCAAGGAACAATGGGGAAAGGGGGAGGGGAGGGGAGGGGGGGAGGGGAGGGGGAGGGGTGGGGGAGGGGAGGGGGAGGGGAGGGGGAGGGGAGGGGGAGGGGAGGGGGAGGGGGAGGGAGGGGGAGGGGGAGGGGAGGGGAGAGGGAGGGGAGGGGAGAGGGAGGGGAGGGGAGGGGAGGGGAGGGGAGGGGGAAGGGAGGGGAGAGGGAGGGGAGGGGGAGGGGAGGGGGAGTGAGTGTGTACTCGCCTATACGTGGTTGCAGGGTTCGAGTCATAGCTCCTGGCCCTGCCTCTTCACTGGTCGATACTAAGTCACTCTCTCCCTGCTCCATGAGCTTTATCATACCTCTTCTTAAAGCTATGTAAGGAACTTGCTTCCACTACTTCACTCTCCAGATTATTCCACTTCCTGACAACTCTAAGGCCAAAGAAATACTTCCTAACATTCCTATGACTCATCTAGGCTGTCAGCTTTCAATTGTGACCCCTTGTTCCTGAATCCCATCTCTGAAACATTCAAGCTCTGTCCACCTTGTTAATTCCTCTCAGTATTTTATACATCGTTATATTGTCCTCCCTATTCCTCCTATCCTCTAGTGTCATCAGGTTGAGTTCCCTTAACCTCTCCTCATAAACCATATCCCTCAGTTCTGGGACTAATATTGTTGCAATTTTTTTAACTTTCTCTAATTTCTTGATGTGCTTGACCAGGTGTGGGTTCCATACTGGTGCTGCATACTCCAGTATAGTCCTGATGTACATGGTGTACAGAGTCTTGAAAGATTCCTTACTGAGGTATCAGAATGCAATTCTCAGGTTTGCCAGGCACCCATATGCTGCAGCAGTTATCTGGCTGATGTATGTATGTATGTATGTATGTTGCAAGGTTTCAGGTACATCTTGCTACTTCTACTTACACTTAGGTCACACTACACATACATGTACAAACATATATATACACACCCCTCTGGGTTTTCTTCTATTTTCTTACTAGTTCTTGTTCTTGTTTATTTCCTCTTATCTCCATGGGGAAGTGGAACAGAATTCTTCCTCTGTAAGCTATGCATGCTGTAAGATGCAACTAAAATGCCAGGAGCAAGGGGCTAGTAACCTCTTCTGTATAAATTACTAAATTTAAAAAGAGAAACTTGCGTTTTTCTTTTTGGGCCACCCTGCCTTGGTGGGATACGGCCGGTTTGTTAAAAAAAAAAAATGTATGTATGTGTGTGTGTGTGTGTGTGTGTGTGTGTGTGTGTTACTCACCTATTTTGTGGTTGCAGGGGTTGAGTCTTAGCTCCTGGCCCTGCCTCTTCACCGGTTGCTACTGGGTCCTCTCTCTCCCCTTGCTTCATGAGCTTTATCAAACCTCGTCTTAAAACTATGTATGGTTCCTGCCTCCACTACGTCTCTTTCTAGGCTATTCCACTGTCTGACAACTCTATGACTGAAGAAATACTTCTATCATCCCTTTGACTCATCTGAGTCTTCAACTCCCCGTTGTGACCTCTTCTTTCTGTGTCCCCTCCCTGGAACATCCTGTCTTTGTCCACCTTGTCTATTCTGTGCAGTATTTTAGATGTCGTTATCATGTCTCCCTTGACCCTCCTGTCCTCCAATGTCATCAGGCCAATTTCCCTTAACCTATCTTCATAGGACATTCCCCTTAGCTCTGGAACTAACCTTGTCGCAAACCTTTGCACTTTCTCTAATTTCTTGACGTGCTTGATCAAGTGCAGGTTCCAAACAGGTGCTGCATACTCCAGTATGACCTGACGTGCACAGTGTATAGTGTCTTGAACAATTCCTTGCTAAGGTATCGGAACGCTGTTCTCAGGTTTGCCAGGCGCCCATATGCTGCAGCAGTTATCTGGTTGATGTGTGCTTCCAGAGACATGCTCGGTGTTATACTCACCCCAAGATCTTTCTCCTTGAGCGAGGTTTGCAGACTTTGGCCACCTAGCCTATACTCCGTCTGCGGTCTTCTGTGTCCTTCCCCTATCTTCATGACTTTGCATTTGGCGGGGTTAAATTCGAGAAGCCAGTTGCTGGACCAGGTGTCTAGTCTGTCCAGGTCTCATTGAAGTCCTGCCTGATCCTCATCCGATTTAATTCTCCTCATTAACTTCACACCGTCTACGAAAAGGGACACTTCTGAGTCTAACCCTTCCATCATGTCATTCACATATACCAAAAATAGCACTGGTCCTAGGACCGACCCCTGTGGGACCCCGCTCGTCACAGGTGCTCACTGTGATACCTCATTACGTACCATGACTTCTTGTTGCCTCCCTGTCAGGTATTCCCTGATCCATTGCAGTGCCCTTCCTGTTATATGCGCCTGATCCTCTAGCTTCTGCACTAATCTCTTGTGAGG